AAAATAGGATGTTATCAGGGAAGTAAGAAATGCTGGACTAACAATAATTGCAACTATATCTGACCAAGGTGCTACTAATAAAGCAGCTATTAATTGCCTTTTAGAGGAAACAAATTCTTTTTTTATTAAAAATAAATCCGAGAATACATGTCAGGGATACCTTGTAGATGGTGAGGAAATTGTGCATTTGTATGATTTTCCTCATCTTCTAAAAGGTATTCGTAACAACCTTCTGACAAAAGATTTATATTTTATTCAGTCAGGCGTAACTAAAGTAGCATCTTGGTCACATATGTTGCGATTGTATGAAATTGATCAACAGCAGGGTCCATACAGTCAATTTGTAAAATTGACTGACGAACATGTCATCCCAAATAAAATTAGAAAAATGAAGGTGCGACATTGTACACAGGTATTTAGCCATACTGTTGGAAGTACCATGTTTACAATGGCTAAAGCCAGTGAACAACTTCCACCAACATCTGAATTTTATTTGGACCCTGCTGCAAAAGATACTGCAGAACTTTTTATCTTTCTTGATAAGCTTTTTGATAGTGTCAATGGCTCGTCTCTTTATCCTCCAGTTGGAAAAAAATTGCGATGTGTGGCGACCTTAAAAACCGATCATTTATCTTTTTGGAAGAAATGCATACCAATTTTAAATTCAGTATACTTTAAGTCCCCTACAGATCCTCAAAAAAAATTTATACCACCTTCCATTAAAAATTGGGTATTTTCCTTGAGAGGACTTCATTGTATTATGAATAAATTATTTCAAAAAGGGTTTAAACACGTATCCCCCAGGTGTTTTAATCAGGATCCTGTGGAAAATTTTTTTTCTCTAATTAGGAGCCAGGGAATAAGGAATACAAATCCTACCTGTTCTTCTTTTATTAGCTCTTTAAAATCGTTATTAATCAATAACTTTGTATCGCCACACTCTGCAGGTTCCAACTGCGAAGAAGACGAGTCAATTGGTATTCTTGATAACCTCAAGGATTTTGTTAACCAACAAATTGTAACTGAAAGTGAACAACAAATTGTACAATTGCCTGTTATTCCTGCATTTAAATATAGGCTCCAATTTATTTTAGATTATGCTTCAGCATATGTCGCTGGATTTGTGATTAAAAAAATTGGGAAAACTATAAATTGTACAATTTGTTTAAACAATATTTCAACTGAAAAAGATATTCCCCAAAATATGTTTATAACTGGAAGGGAATATACAGAAGGTAGTTTAAAAAAACCAACAAGTCGTTTTTTATTTATATTTAAAAAAACGACTGAAATTATTTTAAACTACTTTCCTAAAATTATTACTCTTTTTAATGTAAAGCAAAAAATTATAAATTATGTAAGAAGTAATTGTTTAGACGATATTACTACGCTATTTTGCGAAAATCATGTAATCAATGTAGATTTATATATAAAAATTTCAGTTAATATTATATTTTTTAACTATATTAGCAGTGTTAATAATATATTATCAGGCAAAGACTTAAGAAGGGCAGGACAAGACCCAATTATGTCTTTGGCTTTTCAAAAATATAAAAAAAAATATCACAAAAGAAAATAAATATTTAATTAAATATATAAATAAATTAATCTCTCCACTTTTGTAAATAACTCAAAATAAATTAAAAGCTTTATATAAAAAAAATTAAGACTTAAAAAAAAATTAATGTATGCTTTTAATAATTTGATTAAATTTCTTCGTCTTAAATACTTGGATAATAAAGATTTTTTAATTTTTTCTTGAAGAAAGGGATATTGCTAAAATGGAGATAGGCAATTTGTTTTATATTGAAATTGAAGATTTTTTAATTTTTTCTTGAAGAAAGGGATATTGCTAAAATGGAAATAGGCAATTTGTTTTATACTGAAATTTTAAAAGTATGTTGATAAATTTATGTATTTTGATCCTTTGTAAAAAAAACATTATATGTATTTATATATACCTATATTCTTTTTTTGGCCACTATATTTTCCATTAATATATTAGTATTAGTAAACATTTTAATATTTACTATGTCATATAGAGCATAATCTGTAAGTATATTTCTGTGTCATATAGAGCATAATCTGTAAGTATATTACTGTGTCATATAGAGCATAATCTGTAAGTATATTAAAATACAATTTTACAATCAATTTTTGTGTTAAAAACATATTTTTTAATTGCATTTGTAATTCTGCTTATATTTTTTTTTAAGTTTGTGTTTTTACCAAAAAAATTGTTAAAGTGAAATTTATAAATCTTTGCGGTTGTCGTTCGCGCTGGCGTTGGAGATAGAGCATTGAAAATATATGTATACTTATTATTATGTAGATATAAAAACAAATATGTTTTGAAATATCTACATAATAATAATAATATGGAGTTTCATCAAGTAAAGGTCGAAACAATCAAATATATATGTATACATTTATAAATGCTTACATATCGACTAAAAGTGCCTAACTAAAAAAATTAATAGGTAATCTTACTTTAAAAATAAATTTTTATAAAAATGATAATAATAATATGGAGTTTCATCAAGTAAAGGTCGAAACAATCAAATATATATGTATACATTTATAAATGCTTACATATCGACTAAAAGTGACATTGACTAAAAGTGCCTAACTAAAAAAATTAATAGGTAATCTTACTTTAAAAATAAATTTTTATAAAAATGATCAATTTTTATGTATACATTTATAAATGCTTACATATCGACTAAAAGTGACATTGACTAAAAGTGCATAACTAAAAAAATTAATAAGTACCTAATCTTACTTTAAAAATAAATCTTTATAAAAATGATCAATTTTTATGTATTCTCAAGACAAAAATAAATAAGATTTGTATTGTAAATATTTAAAAAGGAATTATTTTTTAACAAATTTATTTATCAAGTATAAAAATTACAATTTTTTTTGGTTATGTAACTTTTTTTGTGTGCGAACGATATATTTTTAACAGTTTATTTCCAATCCAGCGCGAACAGCAACCGCAAAGATTTATAAATTTCACTTTAACAATTTTTATGGCAAAAACACAAACTTAAAAAAAAAAAAAAAAAAAAAACAGAATTACAAATGCAGTTTATAAACCCAAAAATAATCTAATAATCGGTATATTACATACCAAAGCAATACCTATACCTGTATACCAAACCACTTGAAAGCTCCTAAAGCACTTATTACTTTGATGGAACAATAGATGGCGCAACAAACTTAATTCCTCTATTGTTTATGAGAGTGGGCGATCTCTAACCTTCTTTGTCTCTGGGCTCGTTGGATTATTGGCAGCAAAGAGTGATTTTCTATCCCGAAAAAAATCGGCTAGATTTCTTGATAACCAAAATAACTATTACAAAGTACCAGAAATCACTTGTAAAACCATTAATCTAATTTCCCCAGAAGGATGGGTAATTTTACAACAAATATTTAAAGATGAAAGTTTTCGTAAATCAAACCCCTAAGCTTAACCAACCACTTGTTGAACCGGAAATCGAGTGAGTATCACCGCAATTAAATTATTTTTTTTTTCTTAAGAAAATTTTTGGCGCAATATTTAAAACTGCCAATGATAAGACTTGAAGAAATACACTGTGAAAATCTGACGAATCCAATGTAGAATTCAATTTATTTATATTACCGATCTTAAAGTTAAATATAGTACAATAAAATAACACTGTCATTAAAATATTATTATTATTATTATTAAGAAATGAAGAAATAAATAGAATGCCTAATCCCCTTTACTTTATTTTGAATATTTAAATTCACGTTGGTACTACTGCAACCGAACAGCTGATCAAAAGTCACTATCTTTTGACAGTAACAGTAAACATTCAATTAAATATACAAGCTTTTTTTAAAACACAGACCTATTAAAGAAACGTATACAAAATAAAGACAATTTAATATCAAAAATCCTAAAAATTTAAGGTAGGCGAAATTTGCACGTTACAAAGTATCTCTTGAAGTTTCTTGTTATTTACCAGTTTAATTCGGAATTATTCCTATTCTATATGTTATATTTTTATATAAGCGTGAACGTTGTGAACTGTAATGTTATTATAAACCAAGTAAGTGTTAAAATGGGGAGTTATATATTTGTAAGCGATTGTTTAAGTAAGTGCTAGAAACGTTTCAAGGTAAGTACATATGTTCATTAGATGCACAAGTATTATGTACTCTAGGATAATTCTTTAAGTTTTTAATATTATTTTTATCTTATTTCTTAAGACAAAGTTAAATAAACCTCGGCTTAAACCTAAATTAAGAAAAATTGTGTTGGTCCAGGGCCGTACTTAAAAGGAAAGGGATAACATTTTAGATTAAGACGTACTAACTACACTACTCAAAACAATTATCGCATAATTAGCACATAGCACAATTTATCCATCTAAAATAATAATTACAAAAAACAAACTCGCTTTCTTATAATCAGTGCTGTTGTAAGTACCAAGAAAAAGTACTTAAGTATTAAGTACAAGTTTTTTTTTTAATACGAATCAAGTACCAGTACAAGTTTAAGTAAAAAAGGAAATACTTAAAACATCAAGTAAATTTACTTCAATTACCCAAATTTAAGTACAAGTACCAAATTTTACAAAAATCATAGTCAAGTTTAAGTATTTACTTAAACTTGCGTACTTGAAATGATATTTAAGTACAAATACTTTAAAACATAATTTAAGTATTTTTTATTTTAAGTAATGTTCGGATTAAACCAACAAATTAAATTATTGCTTATAGATAAACTTAATGGGGGTCCCCCATTGGGGGATATTCGGTATAGGCGGTATATCCGAATAATGAAACAAAAGTGTTTTTGTTAAAGTTTTTTTATTAATAATATGATGAACATAAACAAATGACTTTAACATAAACATATCTTAAAAATAACATAAACAAATAAAACAAACTAAAAAACATCCTTGCTTTGCTTCGCAAAAATAATAACTCAAATTCAACTTTAAATTTTAACTATCGTGGTAATAAAACTAAAACTTATTTGCTTTTAACGTTACCAGTTTTTCAAAATTGCTGTCACTTAAAGCATGCCTACGAGGCGCATTAATAATTTGGGCAAAACTAAAAAGGCGCTCAACAGGAGCTGATGATGGGAGGATTGTATTGTATTTACGAAAAACAATTTTAATATATTTATAATCGTCTAGCATGCTGAGACTGGTTCTTTGATCGTTTAGGTATTTTAGGAGTTCCAGTTCGGATTGACTCTTCGCTTTCGCATCAACTAATAAATTTCCAGCACTGGAAGAGAATGACTCAGTATCTTCCTTAAAATCAAAAAATGGATCATTATCGTTATATATTTGTTTTTCTGGGGTTTTAAATCCTGCTTCAGAAATACTTGCTTCTATTGCTTCGATTACCCATGACTGAATTTCCTTCGATGTTGTTGAAATTTCAGTATTTTTAAACACGTTGTACCATCTTATTTTAAATCTGGGACAAAGGACTGCTGCAATGACCGCTGTCCTTGATTCTTTTTTAAGAGTAAGTAAAAAAGCAAATCTGCGATCAATTGAATCAATTATAAAGTCCAGAGGTCGTAGAAGCTGTTCTATTTCATTTGATAGTTTTAGTTTTTGCATTTTTGTTCTCATAGAAACTATACTGGGTAGCAAATATCCATAGTAGGTATTTTCTTCACCCTGTAGAAAATCCAAAGTTTCAGCTAGAGGTTTCATAATTTGAATATATTCTTCCAAAAAAAGAATTTCATTTTCTCTAAAAGGTGCAATCATAAGTCTTTCGCATAATAAAGGCAATTTTTCCTTAGACTTAAGTATTTTCTGTACAGCGTCGTACAATGAATTCCATCGGGTTACTCCAGGAATACTAAATGTGTGACCAAGAAGGTTTTTAATTATTTCCGAGGATTTAGGTCTACCTGCTTTGTTCCAAAGACTAGAACATTTATTAAAGACTTGTGTATGTTTTTGTCTTAATTGGTGCGAAGTTTTTAATGCATTATTATAATCTGTGGTTGCTAACAGATTAATAGTATGTGATGCACATCTTAAATGACGCGGTAAAAATCTACCACTACCGGTGCCCTCTCTCGGCATTCGATTCGTCAAAAACGGTTTCGTTAAAATTAAAATCTGGATAAATGTCACTATCAATTTCGTCATTTGTTGGGGGCAAATTAAAATCATCATCTGCTGGAGTATATGAAGTGTTATTTATCAGGCCAAATTCTTTGAAGCATTTAACAAAATTACTACCATTGTCAGTAATTGTTGCCATTATTTTGTTTGCACTGAGGTTAAAGCTTTTATTAATTTCATCCAAAATATCAGCTATTCGATCATATGAGTGCGTTCCTTCAAATCTTTTGCACGCCAATGCTGCAGAGTGTCTTGTTAAATTTTCATCAAGCCAATGACATGTGACGCCTAAAAAACTTCTAGATTTTGAAGACCATATGTCGGTTGTGGTACATACATAATCGGTATCTTTAAGTTTTTCTTTTATGTCATGACACATATTTGAATGTAATTGATCAATTCTTCTTACCGCCGTCGACCGGTCTATGACAGTTACATTACAACCCATACCCTCAAATAAGTTTTTAAAACCACAAATCTAGTCACCCTTTCATCAAACTGTTTTTGGGTAACTTTATTTCCAAACTGTAAGGTACCTTGTTTTTTAATTTTCTCAGTTGATATACTGCTACTGCTAGTACTTGCACTGTCAGGTCTTCTATTTTCTGAACGATTTAATGTCTTCTTTTCATTTTTATATTGAATATAGGTGTCAAATTTATCCATGTGATTTTTTTTAAATGCTTGATAAAATTTGTCGTCACTAACAAAGACCCTTTAACAAGTTTTATATTTGGTAAACACAGCTGACATCGGGCTTGTATATGTCCATCCTTGGCATTCTGTAAATAAATATACCTTTATAAAAATGATATTTGATTAACGCATGTTCTAAACGATTATTAGTTTATCCAATACAGGGTGTTACAAATTTGATGCATTAAAGCTAATAGGCTAACTTTGTTGTATTGGTAAAATGGAACTATAAGAGATAGAGAGTTGGTTAAATGAAGGCAAAGTTAGGCATTTTAATAGTGAATAATTTGTCAAAAAGAAATTTATTTTTTTTAGGTATTTCCGAATATATCCGAAAAAATCAGTTTTGTTTTTTTTATTTTTTTACAGCTTTATTACAGACAGATTATTTTGAAAAGCCAAGAGCACACTTCCTTAAAGCACTTTTTTATTTTCTTCAAGAAAATAATTTTATTTTTGAGATGCGAATTTTGTTTAATAGACACCCACATCAGCTTAGTTTTTTAAAATACGGGCCTGGATTTTCAATTTCATTTTCGAGTAGCTTTTTACCTCCCAAAACTAATAATTTATTAACTTGTCTTGTAGTAAATAAGAACAATATTTTTTTTAAATATGAAATATATGAGTCGTTTGGAAAGCACTTTAACACATTGAGTTAATGTGGATATCTCGAAAACGAAACGTATCTAAAATATAAAATTATTTTTTGAAATTTAAAAGGCAAACCAATTTTGTGTTTCTTGGTATTTCTCCATGGATTGGCTGAAAATAAAAAACGTATGCGAGGCACGCATTGCGTGGGTACTTACTTGACTGATAACTTCAAAAAACTTTCCATCCAAAAGACAGCTACTTTTAATATTTGTCGTTAGTTGGTCTGAAGACTCTGGAGCAGGCTCCGAAACTGCGACCTTGCTTGTGCTTGTAGACGGCAAATTTATTGTTAAGAAGTCTTTTATTCTTTTTTGCTTTTTGCATTTTTGCGTTGGAATGTAATATGGATCTTCGTCATCAGAAACATGATAGGGATCCGGAAGATCTTCAAATTCGACATCATCACTGGCATCAGTTGATGAAATTATACTCATCATAAATTATTCATAAGCTACAAACTATGTAAAAACAAAACTTTACTAAACCCCTATTCTGCCTTCCTTAGCCTAAAGGGCGTATCTGCAAATTTGACGAAAATTATATAAGGGTATTTCTACGCAGTAGCGTGCCGTGGGTCTAAGGGCGGAGGGGGCGAACTTTCTTAAAAATAACAATTTTTTTATTTGATACAAAATTGACAATTAATTAAGGCGTCAAATGCGGTCTGAGCAGAAGGGCGGTGGGTGGGCGGTCGCCCCCCCCCTGGCCCCCTATACGGCACGCTACTGTTTCTACGTTGCTATACACGTTTTCCACGTGTTCCTAAAGCCTTAATTGGGTATCTACTGTAAACGCATATACGCAAATTAGCGTGATGCGTCGTGAGGTTTTAGGTTACCCCTCCCCCCATCCAATATCACGTGTATTTTTTTAATATTACGAAAAAATATTTTGTGTATTTAAAAAAATACATTTTTTTTATTGGAAAAATATTATGGAAATAGTATATTACAATACGAGAGTTTAATGGAAAAATGGAAACAAAAAAAAATAAAAAATATAAATAAATAAAAATTAAATTAATACACGTGATTGTTCCAATATACCCTCCCCCCATGGTGATCAATCGTGATGTTATTCTAACCCCCCCCCCTGTTTGAACCTCACGTGAAGGACGGCCCCATAATAATACTACGTCTTAATTCTTAATTTCACCCCTCCCCCCAAATATGGCCAATGGAATGACATCTGACACCATAAAATTTAATTGTCACCCGTCTTATAAACGCATGTTAAATTTCAAAGAAAACAAACACCAAAACCTAAGAGAGAGCTAAATTTAAAATTTTGCCTTCCCTCCCTAAGTACAGCACTGCAAAAGTTTATTGACATCATAATATTTTATTGTTATCTGATTTACATGCATAAATGCATATATGCAAAATTTTAGCTTTATTGGATATGGGGACTGGGAATTAGATTAAATTTAAAAATTTAGCCCCCTCTCCCAAGTCCGTTCCTGGACCAGGATAATGACACCATAATTATTATACTGAATTATCATCCGACTTACATTAAATACGGTAGATCCGACTTACATCAAATACGTTAGATCTAACGTATTTGCTTACATATATACGTGTATATATTATAATATTAATAATACATGTATACACTAACAAACAAGGAAACAAGTGAAGTTAAATAAAAGCTTGTAAACGCCTTCTCTTGTTTTTATGTGGCGAGTTTTTCCCAATCATGCCGCGCATCAACGTCGCTACCCCTGCCTTCACTGAGGGACCCCGAGTAAACCGGGAATTTACCGATCTTAATCTTTCGGTTTTCATATTAAAGTCACTAAATAAATAAATAAATGACTTTAATACATATATTTTAGGGCCTCCTCTGTGGGGGCGTCCATTAATTACGTGTCTTAACTTTTTTGTTTATTTTAAAAATATGTATTAAAAAAAAGCGTAGGCACATCAAATATCAATCAAGTTTTCTTTGCATTTCTTATGGAGACATGACATTTGTTATAAGTTATTATACTGTATAAGTTATGGTTACGGTTTTATGACTTTTGATTCATAGGTTATGAATGACATTAATTTACACTTTTTTATGAATACCGCTGTATTTATTTATTTATTACACTTTTACTTCTACTTACTACTACTTACCGAAACCGTGATTTTTGCTGGACACAGGCACAGACACAGGGAATGGATTTTGAATTGGGAAACGACAGCTTGGCTGCACAGAGATGAGTGATTTGAGCCGGCTGGCTTACGGCTATTTTCACGAACTACCAATTTCTTTTTCAAGTAAATTGTACTTAAGTATTTAAAAATATTTCAACTAAAATATTTACTTGAAGTAATTTTACTAGTACTTAAGTATTTTAATAACACTTAAGTACAAATTTTCGAAAGTTTTTAAGTAAAATATACTTGAATGATATATTAAGTATTAAGTACAAGTAAAATTTCAAAAACATAAAATTGCAAGTACAAGTACCAACGTTTGCATTAGTACTTAAGTCAAATACTTGAAGTATCTTTTCTACTTAAGTATTTACTTCAAGTATTTATAATACTCAGTACAACAGCACTGCTTATAATATACAAGTGTTTTGAAGTGTTTTTTGCTCTAAAAAGTAAATCATTTCTTTTGAATATTTTTTTATGAAGATATGTTTTACATTTACCATTCTACTAAAAATAACAAATCAGTTCAGTCACACTTTATATGCGAATTTCGTAATAACTGTGTTGTAAAACGATATTTAAAGTAATGGCAAATTTAAACAGACGGGATACAAGGCATTTAACGGATGCGGAAGTTCAATCTGTGGTACTTCTTCTTCGCGAAGGACATACTCAAGTAAGAGTTTCTGAAATCCTTGGAGTTGCCCAATCCTCCGTGAGTAGGGTGTTCCAACGTTTTCGTGGAACTCATGGATATTCCAGACGTCAAGGCCAAGGACGTCATAGGGCCACAAATAAGGTAGAAGATCGTTTCTTGACACTTTCTGCCCGTAGAAATCGAACTGTGACAGCTAGAGGTTTGCAAATTTCTCTACAGCGTGTACATAATACCCGGATTTCAGATCAAACAGTGAGAAATCGACTTCATGAGATAGGTTTAAGAACTAGGCGACCCGCAACAGGCCCTCGTTTAACCAGGGCACACAGGGTAAGGCGACTTGCTTTTGCGAGAGAACATGTGGATTGGACACAAAATCAGTGGGCTAATGTACTCTTCTCGGATGAGTCCAGATTCACTCTTTCATCAAATGATCGACGTCAAAGAGTGTGGAGAACTCCAGGGACGCGATTTCACCAATGTAATATTCGTCAGTTGGATGCTTTTGGCGGTGGTGGAGTGAAGGTATGGGGTGGAATCAACTCAAATGCACGCACCGAGTTGCACATAATCGAAAATGGAACTTTAAATGCAGAAAGGTACATTAGAGATATTCTGGAATATTCGCCCCATTTATCGGAGCCGACTTTGTTTTTATGCAAGATGCACGTCCACATACCGCACGTATAGTTCAACAATATCTTCAGACTGTTCAAATCGAGACATTAGAGTGGCCGGCTAGATCGCCCGATCTAAATCCGATAGAGCATATGTGGGATGCCCTTGGAAGACGTGTACGCAGCAGGGAAAACGTCCCAAATACTCTAGGCGAGCTATCTGAGGCACTAATGGAAGAGTGGAATAATATTCCAGATCAGTATGTCCAAGATTTAGTTAACAGCATGGAAAGACGATGTAGAGCAGTTATTAGAGCAAGAGGAGGAAATACGGAGTATTAAAAGTTGCACAATAATTATTATTTGAGAATTTAACATTTTTGTTTTACCAAGTTTAAAAATAAATTTTATTTTAATACACAAATTCGGTGATTTATTTAAAATTACACTTCCATAAACCGGTGAGTTAATATTGTTTCACATTACAATGATATTACAATCACAAATTTAACAAAATTAAATTATTATTAGTTTTCAGGAATATGCGATAATTGTTTTGAGTAGTGTAAAAATCACATAATAAAATAAATTAAAAAATATTTTTTAAAATAGATAACTCAGTAGCAGAAATTTTAATTTGTTACCCAGCTTTTAAAAAGTCCCTTATACATTGGTAAGACATTTAAGCAAGCATATTAAATTTAAAATTAAGTAATTTTTATAATTCTAGTTCGAAATTGACTTTAAATTGTTGCATCCAGACAAGAATTTACATATGTATGGCAAAATTGGGGATCTTCGTAAGAGGGTATGTGAAATTGCATCTAAGAAACAGGACAAAATTATTAAAACCTTTTTATCAGCCTTGGATAAAAACAGTAATGAAGGCAATTTTTTATTAGATTTTATATTTACTCTAATAACTACTAAATTTTACTATTTTTTTAGACGCTACGAATGCTACAGCATTCCTCTGAATACCTTACCTAATTGTGCCACCTATAGTTACTGGAGGAAAAAAAAGTAAATGGAGACCGTCCAAACGCGAATGCCAGGAAGCGTTTTTATTATATGTAAAAACTGTTGATTAAATTGATGGTTTATTAGAACGCCTACGTGCCAAATGTTTACTGCATGGTGATAATTTACAGCGTCTCCCAATTATAGTAGGTAACAATTTTAATGACTTAAAGGCATATGTTTCAATCGATAACTAATTGTTTAAAATTGACAGTGTTATAAACTGTATTGATACATGTTTTAAACTCTTCTATAGTTTAAATGCTAAATTTCCTTGTGAAAGTCAGCAGATTTGGTGTTTTTTGCAAAAATATATACAGGGTGTTTCATAATATATGCGCAGGACTTCAGGATGTGATAGCTCATCCAAAAAGATGAAAAAAGTCGCTATTAACATACGCTCTAAAATGCACAATTTTCGAGATACAGGGTGTTGAAATTTTAGAAAAAAATTCGTTTTTTTCGAATATCTCCGGAACCGTTTATCGTACAAAAAACAGCTTTTGTAAGCATTTTCTACTCAAAATAAGCTATGTTTTGTGCCAGAAAAAATTTTTTTTTCCTCATAATTAGTGGAGATTTTGAAGGGGTAGCGGGTGTTTTTCTCCTTAACTTCTACGCCCCTAAAAAAAGTACGGTTTTGAGAGGCCCATTCGAACCGCCAATGTTTTCTACACAAAAAACGGACTCTTGGTCATAAGCTCTAAACTTGACCGTTTTTGAGGAAAATCAACTTTTATGTTTAAAGACATGGCCAATTTAAAAAAAAAATTATTTTTTTTACTAATTAAACAAAATTTATTTTAACATTAGAACAAGTAACAAAACCAAACCATAATTGCAAAATAAAAAATGATTCAAAAGTTGTCTTTGCTAAATTCTCCAAACCGTAAATGTAACGCATTTCGCACATTTCAGCATTTGTGCAAAAATCATTTTTTATTATTTTTTTTAATTTTGCAATTATCGTTTGGTTTTGTTACTTTTTC